TTTTTTTTTTCGTTTTTTGTTTTTTTTTTTTTTTTTTTTTTTTTCCTTTTAAACAACTGCTCCAAGTCCTTGTTTGCTGGGCAGAGATACCACGTGAGGCTGTAGTTTCAGCTTTCAGGCTGGCTGTGTGACAGTGTCCATGAAGGTGCTGGACTTTGTGTGACACTCAGAGAAGCTGCCCAAAATCAGACTGCAGGAATTGCTGAAGTCTCTCAGCCTCTCCCTCACCAAAATGCAAAGGAAAAATCAGACATGGTGCAAGTCAGGGAAGAAGGTGAGTTAAAATTTCATTTTCTTTATGCCTTCCTCCCCTCTATACAGTAGCAGAGAGGAGACAAAGGAAAAGGAACAGCAGGGTTCAGTGGAAGGCAGAAGGTTCCCAATGGGCTCACCGATGGCTCAGTGCTGCTGGGTGGGGGGACTTGGTGCTTCACTGCTGCTTGGTTTTAAGGGATAATCTCTGTATCATCTTGTAAAGGAGACCAAAGTGCTGGAAACAGAAGGGGAAAAAAGTAACCATGACAGTTCTAAACACACAGCTTAGCAGGCTTAGAACAATACCAGTGTGTAAATGCAGTGCCTTGTTTGCATCAACCACTCATCCTGAAGATGGAGTGGGACTTGATGGATCAGGAATTATGACAAAGAAGCCAAGTTATACAGAAAATGATGGCTTACAGAAGTGTTTGTGCAGGTCTGTATCACCTCATTGTGAAGATGTGTTAAAGATTTTTTAAATTTTTATTTTTAATGCAATTCTGTTCCTTCTGAAGGCGAGGAGAAAGCTTCAGGTTTCAACACATGCAGGTTCCTGGTCTCTATAGAAACACTGCTGCCAGCCGTTTCAGGAAGGTAAAAATGAACCAGGCAAACACAGAGATTCCCAGCAATTCACAATTCTTTAACTGGATCCTCTCTTTCACCATTTCCCCAGTGACTTAGAAATTCATTTAATTCCTCTTTTGATTTTGCTGGGGTTGATTGTATTTTGATTTGATATTTGACAGATGTAACAAGATCCAGGCTTCAAGTAATTTCAAATTCAAGTAACAGAGCTAATGAAGATTGCCAATAGAGATCAAAGTATGTTTTTCCTCTTGTTTATATTCTTACACATTTTAAATACTTGTAGTTTCCATAAATAAATAATAGGCACAAAGTGATCAAAATTTAGTGACCTAAAAAGTTTCCCTTTCATTCATGTCCTTCATGAACCCAGGCAGGAACAAAGCCTTGCTCTGTCTTGGTTAACACTGACACAAAAACATTACATTTAATTTGGCTGGCCATGGTGTGGAGTATCACATTTCCAGAGGTATGGACACAGGATTATTTCTGGTTTCATTGCAAAAAGAAAGCAAAACTCTGAAGATGCATTTCTAAGCTGCATCCCAAGTTCAGATATTTCCTACTAGTACAAGCTACAAACTTTTAAATTACCAAGGTAACTAAAATTTGTTGTAAAGTTTCAGTTTGGACCCAAAATAGGTTAGAAAGTGAGTTAGGTATGTCCTTGAATACAAGAAACAGCTCTTAATAACAGGTTTGCATTAGAATGGCAAGACTGCCTACAGCACAGATAAGTGGCATTATTATTCCAGCTTTAGTGCTGGCACTAGGTGAATTCCTGTATTTAACTTGTTTTATAAGGAAAATAATCCATCTGTGTCTCTTACCTGCACTGCAACATAGGCAACACCAAGGTAGGCTGCAATACAGACAGCCAGGAGCAGGTCAAAGATTGCTGGCTTGACCCTGGAATAAGGAAAAGTGCACATGAAATTCCTACAGCAGTTTCTGCCAGGGGGTGAGACAACAGCCCAGCATGGCCAAGGGAATTCCATACCTGTATGCATTCATCACCTGCTTCAGCTGGTCATAGAAAACAAACTCGGGGTCCCTGTGCAAAGGAGAAATTTTTCAGATTCTGCTGCACTTCTTGATGCTGCAGTCAGGACAGGCCAGAGCTGCTCCCAAGTTCACCCAACCAGGCAAGCCTGACCACCTCCCACACTGGTTTTGAGCTGATTTGAGTCATCAGGACTTTCTTTTCCTACTATCAGAAGCCCAAGGACACAATTCAGAACTCATGCTGGTGTTCAGCTGTCTCCAAAGAGGCTGAACATCAAAGATTCCTCCCTCTGCTCATTAAAACAGCTTCAGCCTGAGCAGGTTTAACAGGATGGAAGCTGCCTTTTCGTAATTAACCAAAACTTAGTCTTCTCCTGCTCTCAGAGTGGGAACAGTGGAACCAAAACAGTTTAAAAACAAGCTTTTCAGACAGAGGGAGCTGCTGGGCCTTGTTCCTGTGCTGTGAGGAATCATGAGCAGCTTTCTCTGGGAGAACACCAAGCATGAACCAAAACTGATGGGACAGCAGAAAAGAACAAAGCTGCATATCAATAAACCAGGAAAGCTGCAGCTATGAGACAAAATTCTGTCCAGGGGGAGGGCCAGTTTGGATGCCCTGTCTGGTTCTTTCATGTCTTTTCTTACCGTTTGTCTGCCTTCACATGATGCTGCTTGACATCCTTCAGGTAGCGTCCCATATAATATTCTAAGGTGTTGAGGAAGGTGCTGTCTTTATCAATCAGCTGGGCAGCTCTGGGCTGACTGCTCAGCCAGTCCATCACTGATTCCAGTTGCTCTTGCTGGATTTGCTGCAGAAAAATACCACCAGAGAAAGGGAATCAACCCCACACCAGAGCTCTCTCCCAGACTCTAGGTTCCACAGGTTACAAAAATAATGCACCGTTCTTACCATCTGATCTGTGAAGATCTGCATATCTGCAGGTGCTCCCTGCAAGGGAAAATGGGGAAAAAAAAACAACAACCCGGGTTATTTTTGAGCTTGGCTGGGCAGGACAAATCTGGCTAGCACTGCACAGTGGGCACCTCTTACCTTTTCTGTTAGATTGTAGATGACCCTTGTCAAAGCCTCAGCAATGATCTGAGTATTCCTGGTCAGTGCTTTAGTGTCTATTCGTGCCCTAAAGCAAAAGAGGGGATTCATGGACTTGCCAATGGCATCAGCTTCCTGCAGAAACAACCCCTTTTCACTGAGCCTGAATCCAGAGCCCAACTCCCAATGTTTGTCACCTGTGCCCTGACCATCAGAACAGCACAAACCCTTGTGAGGCCAGCGTGGGTTTGTGGGCTGGATTTCAAGGGCAGCCCTGCCTGCCCAGGGCCCCTCACCTCCTGTCCATGATGCTGTTGCGGAGGCTGTCCCGGTGGCTCTCCAGGTGCGAGATGGTGAAGGCCGGCAGGCGCCGGATGGCGAAGCGCTCGTGCTCCCACGCCAGCATGTCCTCTGCCAGGTTGATCTTCTTGTGCACCATGGAAAACTTCACCTCTGGGAACTGGCTGGCAACAACCTGAGGGCGAGGGTAAGTCATTCAGAGGTGCTGCCCGCTGCAAAGTGCCACCCTGCACTGTCCTGTCTGCCTACACCCACTTCCGTGTGTTCTAGAACATAAGGTGCAGGTATTGACATTATTAAAGCTGATTTTCAGGTCAAAAAGAGCTGTTTTAACATCTGTACAGGGTTTGCAGACCTAGTCTGCTTCACTTGGGACTGTGGCATGAGGATTTCTCTGCATTTCAAGTGATTCTAAACAATACATGAATTATTTCAATAGCACACCCTTTCTTCACATCTTCCTTCCTTCGTGGAGAGCTGTATAGTAAATCCCAAGTTCCCATGAACCTAAAATGCTTTTCCTTACCGTCTCCAGTTCTCTCAGAAATGCATGCTGCAAGGTGCCCTCCTTGGGAGGCTTTGAGACATGAAGATGAAGGCTATTGCCTCTGCCCAGAGTGTCAAGGCAGAGAACAAATGCTACATTGTCCTGCAGCAGGCTGGAATCTGGAAGAGAAAAATCCAAACCTTTATTGCTATGTCTTGTGCTGGGATTTCCATCTCCTTGAAAAAGCAAGCCCACACAAGAAGATTCTCACAGGAGAGCTGACAATTAATTATAGACATTTAAGACAACCAACCCTTTACTCACCAGTGTGGTCCAAATTATCCTCCAGCCACCGCTTAGTTCCTTGATAATTAAACTTGCCACCTCCAGATGCAAAGAACAGCAAGTTATACCTGCAGATCAAAGAAGCCAGAAAAGGGTTAGCAAGAATTTCTGCATTCAGCCTTGGAGGTGTGGTGAAATCACAACCACTTGCACCTGACATCCAAGGCAAACTGTCCATTAACACTTCCCACATGCCACATTCTTAAGTAATGGCAGGATAAATTAATAGTGGGGAGCTCCCAGTGTTTGAGGATGGAATCTGCTTCCCACATCATTCCCTCCACGTCAGCTACACACATCTAACTCCAAACAGAGCACTTCCTCACCCAGCATGGGTCCTTCTGTAGGTGTAGAGCCGAGAGAACAGCCTGGCCAGTTCCAGCAGCACTGAGATTCCACTGCCATTGGAGTCAGCCCCATGGGACAGCCACTGCAGCAGGAGGGGGGACAGACACAAGGTGACAAACCCACACTGACTCTCAGCTACCAGAACAGCTGCAGGACAGCACAGCACTGTGCTCTCCTTGTAACACATGGGCAGAGGGAAAAAGGACAGGAACAGAGAGCTGCAGGAAAAAGAATACTCACTGGAGCCACTCCAAAGGAATCATAGTGGGCAACTATCACAACGGTGGGCAGGTCTTCTCCACCCAGCCCTGTCAGCCTTCCCTGAAGAGGAAAGAGAGCAGTGTCACTCCCCATCACCTCTTGTGAGCCTGTACAAGGACAGCCTGACTTCTGCATTCCTGCTGAGTCTGCTGTGGCCTCAGTTGTGAGGACTTCAGATACTTGGCTGAGACTCCCCTGACTTGGCCTGTCAGACCAAATGTCTGATAAAGTCCCAATAAAAGGAGTCACCTCATCAATGTTGCCAGTTTGAATCCATACACAACTCACCTCCACGCTGGGGATGAGCCAGTCATTGATAGCTTTGCTTTGAGCCCCGCTGGTCACCATCTGGAAGCCATTGGCAGTTGCTGTGTGCAGCAGAACTGAAACAAAAAAACCAAAAAAACCCCACAATGTACACCTGGGGAAGCTTCATCCCTTCCTTTCTAACTAACTTTCCAGCTAACTGAGCTTTGGAGAGACCAGCTTCAAACCATTTAAGCCCTCTCACTTGTCACTGGTGTTTATGCAACGACACAGAATCTTGGTGCTTCTTCATTCTGTCCTAAAATCCCAGTATTTTGTCAAAAAACTTTTCCCCAGCAGTACTAAAATTAGTCATAAGCAGCAGGTCAATAAGACATTCATATTATTTACGTGGAAACATCAAACTGACTTGTGGCCAGACAAAAAGCTTCAGCTTCTACCAAGACACCATCATCACTTAACATTTTCAATGTTGCTTTAACCTAGTTTTGATTTCTACCTTACTTGAAACAATGTGAAGCTGAGAACTTCCTTCAATTTTATGTCCAAATATAGTCAAGTAATGCTTTCTACACTGCGCTTTTCTTCCACTGAATCTCTAAACACTTTGACAAATACAGAATAAACACAAACGCGACAGAACACTTGTTCATGGTGCAAATGACACAGCAGACTCCTCCCAGAGGTGGGAACAGGCTTGTCGGCCTCAAAGCTTTTTCTTCCTTGTTAGAACTCACCTTCTGCAGCTGAGGCAGAGCCCTGTGATGCAGAAGCAGCCCGTGTTTGTTCATAGATAGACAGCAGCTCCTCATCCTCCACTGCAAAGTAGACTGGCACAATGGTTTCCATAGCAAGCATTTCTGGCTCTATCTCCATGAATTGCTGAAGATTTAAGTGAGACACAAACTTAGCATCTGCTAAACACGAGAAGTGTCAAGAAAAGAATCAACCACCAAAGCAGAAAGAAGTCTTAAAATTAGAATACGATTTGTTGTTGTGTTACAACAGAATCTTCCAGCCCTGCAGCAATCAAGCTTTTCTCCAGCACACCTCCCACGAGAAGGGAAAGAAAACTTTTCTGTTTACCCGCACGACATCCTGGGGGACAGAGGAGATGGATCGTGGCAGGATGATCACCACAGCCCCGGCTGACTGGCGCAGAGCCTTCTGGTACTGCTCGTAGGAGAAGTCCACCAGCCTCATCATGACACAGCGGCGGCTCAGCACGTCCGCTTCCACGGTGCGCGCCTCCGTGTTCAGCACGGCGCTCCTGGTGCCTGCCAGCAGGGAAAGCAAGAGGGCTGCTAAGGCACTGCACCCTATTCCCCTCGTTCCAGCCTGCCTCCTGCTCAGAACACTCCTGGGGACAGTCTGATGGGCTGCAGAGTGGCCAGAGGCTGCAGAAAGCAGAGTTCGCCTCTTTGTCCTCGTTGAGAAGGAGCAGAGGTCTGTGGGTTTTCCTGTGCAGCCACATCCTGCCAGACCTGCCTTGTTCCACCCCACAGCCTCACCTGCCAGCCTTCCTCCTGCCAGACCTGCCTTGTTCCACACCCCACAGCCTCACCTGCCAGCCTACATCCTGCCAGACCCCCCTTGTTCCACAGCCTCACCTGCCAGCCTTCCTCCTGCCAGACCTGCCTTGTTCCACACCCCACAACTTCACCTGCCAGCCTCACTTTCCACCTTCTCCCTTGTTCCACACCCCACAGCCTCCCCTGCCAGCCTCACTTTCCACCTTCTCCCTTGTTCCACACCCCACAGCCTTCCCTGCCAGCCTTTCTCCTGCCAGATCCCCCTTGTTCCACACCCCACAGCCTCACCTGCCAGCCTTCCTCCTCAGCACAACACACAGGCTACCTGTCTGCTCACCTGCACCTAATTACCAACACACCTGGACACAGGCTGGCCTCTCCAGAGCCTCTCCCAGCTGGAGGATCAAGCTGTGCAGAAGCCCCTGATGAAAGGACACCAGACTGCCCCAAGTCACCCCAAGGGCTGCTCCCACTCAGCCCCAAGGAAGGTTCTGCAGCTGGCAGAGTTCCAGAGGAGCAGGCTGCTCCTGAGGGATCGCCCTCTCCTTCTCTCAGTTCCAGCAGATCAAATCCCCCACGTGGAAATGCAATCCCCTGGGAGCACAGCAGGCTTGCCAGAAGCTCCTGGCAAGGGAGGGTCAAAAGGACATCTTGTGCAAATAGAGAGTAGCTTACAAATCCACCTTACAGTTTACAATTCAATTTCTTCTTCTATAACTCTGGCACCTCCACTGGAGAGCTCATCCTTCTGGGTCCCCACACAGGGACAGACAAGGTGGCCTCTGTCAAACAGGAGCATTGCTAAGAACTAGATTTAAACCTGGCTTAGCCTATCTCTAACATTAGTTTGGTCTTCTCAAAGGTCACAGAAACACCTAAACAAGAAAAATCTGCATTTCCCCTGCACAGTATCAGTGAGGGCCACACCCCCAGAAACAGAGGCCAGGCACAATGTGAATTCTCCCCACAGATCTCTGACACTAAACAAACAAACATTAACAGCACCCCCACTCCAACCAGAGAAAAACAACTCAAAATGAGGATAATCCCCCCACCATTTCCAAAGGAATGATGTGTCAACACAGCAATGTGTGCACCTGAAGTTCTGCTCTCTCTGACATCTAAGCAGAGCAGACACAACGGTATTTTCCTGACAGGTTGATTTTCTGCAGTTTCTCTACAGAGAGCTGGTTAATAATCATTCATTTGCAAACTAAAGAATTCTCATTCTATCAGTATTAGAGGAAGTCCAAGCTTGTTCTTAAATTGCTCTATAAGTGATGCTGACAAAAAAAATCTTCCCTCTGCAAGAAGAGGCTGAGCAGCAACCTGTTACTTGGTATTTTTGGGAAAGAATATGAGACTCTGAAACCACAAATCAACTCAGTTGGTCAGAGCTTGGAGCTAATAACACCAAGGTTATGGGTTTGGTAATTTCCTTTGAGAGTTGGACTTGGTGCTTCTTGTGGGTCCCCTTCCAACTCAGACTGCTCTGAAATACAGCTTTTATCCTGAAGGACATCTTAGAACACACAAGGAACAGGAACAGCAGCTACCCAAAGGGAGCAGGAAGGAACAAAGGAGACACACAGCCCACCAAACTAAAAGGCTCCAGGAAAAGAAACAGTAGAAAAAGTTAATTGGAAGCATCTTAAAAAAAAATAACACCTGGATTTCAAGAGGGTCATAGAATTGTGAGCACTTGGGTAGAGGTGACACTTGGGCAAGCAAAGACAAAGTCAAATCACATCCCTGCTAAGCCTGGCAACAAACAGCTCCCAAGGAAGGGAGGGAGGAAAGACAGACTCCTACCCCCATGCAGAGCCTGCCTGGGAGCTCCTGAGGCTGTCAGCAAGGAGCCCTCAAGATGTGGATACGTTCTGAGAAACTGTGATGGAAGAACCCAGAAATAATTTCATTTATTTAGAAGCCAGCAGAAGCCTGAAGTGTTTAAGAAGTACACGGGCACAGCTGCATTTCGTAACTTATATACTTGAACTTATTAAGATCTGAAAGAATGAGAGCTGGTGTCTCATGGACAGCACAAATTAAACGTGAGGCTGTTCATGGCTAACTCTATAGGAAGAGTCCCTCACAGACACAGCACATGCCGTGGCCTGGAATAAAATCTCTACGGAAGACCCAGAAACAAGCCTTGACTCTGGGTTTGTGGGCACACGGGGGAGGAGGCTGAGGGCTGCAGCACCTCCAGGACTCGCAGAACAGGGTGTGTCTCTGACCCGAAGAAAGGTGTTGCACAATCAGCAGGCTGCAAGTGAGAGAACGGAGGAAGTAAAGGTCAGCTGTAACACAGGGGGAGGACAGGCTCTGAAATGGAGCCACTGGAGCAACACAGAGCTGAGGATGAAGAAGATGAAGAGCGAAGAGGAATCAATAAAGGAGTCAAAGGCAAAAGGACAAAACTGAGCTCACAACCGAGCTCACCAGAATGCAGGAGGGACGGAGCTGGACCCCCAAACCGCAGAGCCCTCAGCGCACAGACAGGGCTCCTTGGCTACCCGTAGTTACCACGATGGCGCTCCCAGCCCCTCTCCTGCTGGTGCTGAGCCCGGGCAGCGAAACCCGGCCGGAGGGACCGTCCTGCGGCTGGGCCTGACGCGGGCCCGGCTGCTGCCGCCCCCCGAGCCCCCCGCGCCCACCCGCGGCCTCCCTCCACGGGGGCTGCCCTGGGCTGCTCCCCGGCCTCGGGGCTCCCTTCCCACGGCCGCCCCACCCCGAGGGAGCCGCTGCCGGCGGCGCCCGGCCCGGCCGGGCCGCGCCGTCCCTCACCGTAGGGCTGCCCGCCCAGCTCGTACTGCTGCATGCGGTACACCGTGAACTCGTGCGCCGCCTCGGCGGCGGGCGGCGGCCCCAGGAGCAGCAGCACGGCGGGCACGAAGAGCAGGACGCTGAGCGGGAGGCACGAGGCCTTGAGCACCGACTCCAGCACCTCGCCCGCCTCCTCCAGCATCGCCGCTGCCCCGGCCCGCACCGCGGCCTGCTCGGCACGCACGGCGCGCCCGCGCCGCACGCCGGGACCCGTAGTTCGCCCGCCGCCGCCGGGGCCGCTGGGAGTTGTAGTCGCGGCAGGGAGTGATGGCCGCGGTACCGCCCCGCCTTGGCCTGCAGGGGGCGCGCTCTGCGCGGGCTGGCGCTCCCGAGCGCCCCCCAGCGGATGGGATAACGGGATAACGGGATAACGGGATAACGGGATAATGGGATAACGGGATAATGGGATGGGATCCATAGGATGGGATCCATAGGATGGAATGGGATAATGGAATCCATGGGATGGGATGGGATAATGGAATCCATTGGATGGGATGGGACAGCATCCATGGGATGGGATCCATGGGATAGGATGGGATCCATGGGATGGGATCCATGAGATGGGATCCATGGGATGGGATGGGATATTGGGATCCATGGGATGGGATGGGATGGGACAGGATCCATGGGATGGGATGGGAACCATGGAATGGGATGGGATCCATGAGATGGGATGGGACGAGATCCATGGGACAGGATGGGATGGGACAGGATCCATGAGATGGGATGGGATGGGATAGGATCCATGAGATGGCATGGCATGGCATGGCATGGCATGGGACAGGATCCATGGGATGGGATGGGATGAACAGGACCAGGCAGGAGGCTCCTGCTGCCCCCTGAGCAGGGTGATCCCCCTGTCCCGAGAACAGGAGGGCAGCTCTGACTGTCCCCAGACTACAAAAACATCCCCCAGGCAGTACCTGGCCTCCAGAGGGAAAAAATCAAAGCAAATTGACCCAAGGCTTTCTGATCACCTTGATTTATTGCAAAACAAACTGGCTGCACGCTCAGCTCCTGCAGAGGGGCTGGGCCAGCAGGATTTATCTGAGTCCCCAAGTGCTTTGGTGCCCTTCTGGCACAGTGAGAGGAGGCATTTGGGTGCTGCTCTGGTTATTCCCTGCATGGGAGAACAGAAGGGCAGGGACCTGAGGCACAAGCTGGCTGTGTCTTCAGGCTCCCCAGTCTCTCTGGGCACCTCCTTCTGCCCTAGTGCCAGCCCTGTCACTGCAGCTCTGAGCACGGCCACAGCATTGCCCTGGCTCAGAGCCCAGCCTCTGCACCCCTGAGGGAGGGTCTGGGCTGGGCAGGACATCAAGCTTGCATTCCTTCCCAGTGGCTGTGCTCATCACAGAAGGTCCAAAAGTATTCCAAAGTCATCACAGAAGGTCCAAAAGTATTCTAAAGGCTTGGAAGGGCCGCCTGGTTGGGGAAATCCACCCCATTTGCCAGTGTGTCCTGGTGCAAAACACTCTCAGGTGAGCAGCTACAGCACCTCCGCTCACCCAAAGCTCACACACAGAACCCGAGCGCTGCAGCTGTCCCAGCAGAGCACCAAACCCAAAATGCGTTTGTGTCCTTCACTGCCAGCCTAGGAGCAGCTCCTGTGCCTGTGCTGCACCCACACGGAGGCACCAGCTGGGTCTGATGGGACTGCAGAGCCCGGCCCAGTTCACGACTGGTCAGTGCCACAGCGCTGCCAGGCCAGGAGCAGCACCATGAGCTCCTGGGGGCTGCCTGGCCCCTCTGGTTCTCCCCGTGGCCCCTCACAGACTGGGCAGATTGCTCATCATGCTGGAGTTGCTGGACAGAGGCGCCCTGGGCCGAGCGCCGCGCGCGGCGGGGCTGCGGAAGCTGTCGCGGTAGCGCAGGGAGCTCTCCGTGGAGGAGCCAGAGTTGATGTCCGACATGGCCACGCAGCTGCCGGGCCTGCAGAGCCCGGCCCTGAGGCAGCAGCAGCACAGCAGGCTCCCCACGGCGCGGCGAACCTCCACGCTCCGCAGGGAATAAATGACGGGATTGACCCCCGAGTTGAGCAGGGCCAGAGCCAGGGTCCAGTCCAGGCTGTGCAGGTGGCTGCAGGCTCCGGTGTCGCAGAACACGTCGAAGAGCAGCAGGACGAAGAGGGGGCTCCAGCAGAGGATGAAGGCCCCCAGGATCATCAGCACCGTCTTCAGCAAGCGCAGGGAGCGCTTGCGGCCGTGCCGGGAGCTGCTTTGCTTGGAGCTGGCCTGCACCAGGTGGAAGATGGAGATGTAGAAACCGATGATGCCCAGGAGGATGATGCTGAACATAACCACGGAGAAGAGGATGTAGTTCTTGGAGTAGAGAGGCAGGAGCACGGAGCAGGCCTGGAAGTCGCAGAGGCAGTTCCAGCCCAGCAGCGGGAGCAGCCCGATGACGAGGGCCAGCAGCCAGCAGGCCACGATGAGGCCGCGCAGCCGCAGCGTCTTGCTGGCCTCGTTCTCCGCGATGGGCCTCACCATGGCGCCGTAGCGCTCCACGGCCGTCACCAGCAGGCTGAAGGTGGAGGCGGCCAGGGCGATGAAGAGGATGCCCTCCCGCAGGAACCAGAGCTGCGGGGACAGCTGGAAGGTCTTGCTGCCCGAGAGGAGCAGGTTGCAGAGGTAGGCGACGCCCGCCAGCAGGTCGCTGAGGGTGATGCTGGCGATGCAGGAGTAGACCCAGCGCCGGCCCCGCAGGCAGCGCAGCACGGCCAGCAGCACCAGCAGGTTCTCCAGGATGATGAGGCAGCTGATGACGGCGAAGGCCGTGCGCACCAGCCCCATGCCCTCGTCGCCGGAGTGCCGGTTGGTCAGCTTGCCCGAGAAGTTGTAGTGCTGCAGGATGATGTTCACGTTCCTGGTGGCCACCAGCTGCAGGCAGGAGGCTTTTGTGCCGAGCAGTTGAGCGGAGTCCAGGGGAAGGAGGAGGGAGCGATTCACCAGCCAGCTCAGCACCGGAGCTGCCATCTTCGGAGCCTGGGTCAGCAGGCAGGGGATGCTCGATGGAGGAAGGGGTCGGCTGGGGCTCGGGGCAGAGCAGATCCTCTGCTGGAGGGCTGGAGCAGCTGTGAGGCTGAAGCCAGCCCTGCTCAGTGGAGGTGAGAGTCAGAGCCCTGTCTGCCAGCCCTGCAACACTGAAAGAGCAAGGGGAGAGCAGGGTGAGGTGTTTTGTAAGTCCACCCATGAGCATGGGCTTCCTGTTGTTTAATAAAGTTTCCTGTTGTGACTGACAGTATTGACATCTTTTCTAACAGCTGTCATCATTTCTGATAAGGGTCTGGTTACTCTCAGCTTTGCTGTGGTTGTGAAGGTGTGGCACGAGTGAAGAAACGTGCCAGGGCCCTCTCTGGGTTGGAGCAGGCAGTGTGAAACAGGACAACACCTTGATGGGTGGGGCCTTGGGGGGCTGAACAGCTCCAAGTGCTGGTGAAAGCACCCAGACAGCTCGAGACACAAAGTGCTCCGCCTGCTGTGGTGCTCTGTCCACCCCTGAGCCTGGCAGGGAGCCACTGCCTCTTCCTCAGCTGCCCTGTGCACCACCCATGCTCAGACCATCCCTCTTCCTTCTTCAGGGGGAAGATCCACTCTTTCAGACACATCCAGACCATCCATCCCTGTCTGTGCAGCAGCTCCTGGCACCTGTGGGGCTCCAGCTGAGCCTCAGCCCCTCCACTCCAAAGGAAACCTGCTGCTCCAAGCTGAGCACGTGCCCTGGCTACGCCTTCAACTCCCCAAGCACCTGCTAGAGACTGGTCAGGATCTTCCCACAGGCAGGCAAGGAGGCAAAGAGCTGCTGCTTCTCACCTTTGAGGAGGCACAAGGTGCTGAGACCAGAACCAAGGAACGAGAGCGTGGCTGAAATGTTAATTTCCAGCATTGGCCTAATTCCTTATGTTTGCAAAACTCAACAGGAGAGCCTTGGAACATGCCATTCCCAGCTGTGGCTGGGAATTTGTCTTAGGACTCACCTGTCATGGCTTGTGGGAGGCTCTTGCTGCCCAAGGGAGGTTCAGCAGTGCTCTCCAGCTCTTTGTCTGAGGCCCAGCACGGTGCAGGTAGTGGGGACAGCTCCTTGTGCAAAATAAGTGAGGCTTCTACCCACCAAAGTGAAAAAAGGGGAAGTTGCAACATCAACCACATTTCTGTGCAGGGTGGACCCCACCCAAATCAGCTGCAGAGTGGCAGAGATAAAAGAAAAGCAGAGCACCTTTTAACGCAGGATCTCAGCAGGAGCTGTGCCCTGCTGTGCCTGTGCTCTCACCCCAGGCTGGCAGGGAGCCATGGAGATGTCCCCAGGCTGAGAGCAAAGAGCAGCGAGCTCTCCCCTCGGCAGGGAGCTGTCCAGGGAGCCCACCCATCCCTGCAGGGATTGATCCCAGCCTGGATGGCAGCACGGACAAGTGGAAAATGCACAGGAGGCTCCTGCAGGAAGCAAGAATGGTTCTCATCAAAAGCTGAGGCCTCCATCCTCCACCTTCACCCTTTCAGCTGTGAGGTTTTAGCCTTTTCTATCAGCAGGGTGGAAAGAAACTCACGCTGATAAGGTCAGCAGATGACCCCGAGATTGAAGGAGCGGAAATCAGCAGGGCCACGAGTGCAGGGCTGCACGTTCAGCACCACGAGCTGGCTCCCAAAGCCCCTGGGCTGATGCCCACAGAGCACTGGAATCCAAAGGCTCAGTGTGACCACATCACCCCTTCCAGCTTCGCTCTGGCCTCAGGGTGAACCTCCAGCTCACGTGTCTGTTCAGGACAGAACTGGTGGAATGTGGGAAATGGATTTGTGGAGAGTTTTTAGGGCTTGGTAGAAAGTTTTGGGTCTCTGGGTTGTCTCTGAGTCAGGAAAAGGGCATTGTCCAACAGTAGAATGTTCCTGAAAGATCAGAGGATGGAGAATCTTGCCTTGTCAGGGCTCTAAGTAGTTTCTCCAAGAGCTGGCAATGTGTGAGGAGTCTGAGATTCCTGACAGCAGAGAGATCTGTGGAGAGGAGGGGGCTGGGGCAGGCAAACCCTTCTGAGGGCAGGAGGGCTCCAGGCAGATGAGCTGCTGGGACAGCTCGACCCCCTCACCTTTGGTGTTTAGGTTCTCTGGACCAGCAAAACATTGAAAGATCTTCCTACAAAATGCCCTTCCATGACTAATGGGGCTCTTCTTGCCTGAGCCCCCATGTGAGGAGAGTTCCTGCTCTGCCTTGTCCCCATTGCCCTCAGAGCAGTCCCAGCCCGAGCTGGATCTTGGCCCTTCTCCTTTGCTGCCATCCCAGTTCAGATCTTCTTTCTTTGAAGCCGAGTGGGGCAGGGGAGGGACGGCCCCTCCTGCAGCATTTCTCATCTCTTCCCTTCAGATCAGAGCCCAAATCTGCCCAAAACGCTCTGGGTGCTGGGCTGGGAAGGGCCAGGGAGGCACGGGGGCAGCTGGAACCTGTGGTCCTGCTGCAGTTCCATGCCTAAAGCAGATATTGATGGATGCTGAGATGAGGCACCTCAGCAGAGAAGCCCTGGAACCCTCCAGAGGTCAACAAGAAGGCCAAAATACCTTGGCCTCAGAGAGAGGAGCTTGTGTGCAGTGAGAGGAGCAGGAGAGCAGCAGCCTGGAGCTCATCTCCCTGTGTCCCTCCCTGTGTCCCAGTCCCTCCTGTCCCGGGGCTGCTGCTCCCAGGAGGATTTCCAGCCACTCATTTTGGGGGGCCACAAGCAGCTGCAGGGGAAAGACAACAAGTTACAAACACGAGATAAAATATCGATGATTCCTCTTGAGGTTTTCCTGCTGTGCTGCTGCGAAGTCCTGATTAAAGCTTGTGCTTTCAGATATTATGATTTAAAAAAACCAAAACACGGGTTCAGCTCTGTGGAGAGCTCTGTGGCAGGCAGCCCCCAGGCTGGCTCATGGACATCAGGCATCCACATCTCTCCCTCCCCATGCACCCATCCTGTCCCCTCTGCATGGCCCCAGCACAGCCCAAGGCATCCACTTGCAGGTGTTTTTCTGCTCCAGGAAGGGTGGAGCAGGTTTGGTTTAAAAATGACTGATCACTCCTGGCAGCTGGGTGGTTGCACTTCCCTGCTTTGGTCTCTTCTGCTGAAGAGCAGCACTTCCTACATCCCAGTCCCCAAGCTGGCAGGATGCTTCTGGCCCTAGAGGAGCCAAGAAGAGCCAGGAAGGTCCCTCTGACCTGGGCTGACACCAAACCCTGCACATTTGACTTTTCACAGTGCTCAAAAGCCATCCCAGGCACAGCTGTTGTGCCCTTTCATTTAAATTGGGTGGTGGTGTCATGGATCTCTGTAAAAAAAAGAGGCTCTACAGTGCACCTCTTGAAGGAAAACAAGAATATGAAAGAGCAAGTCTCAGGATTGTCTCCTCCAGACCACATTCATGACTTTAAATGGCCAAGTTTTTCTGTTTTTTTGGTTTTTTTGTTTTTTTGGTTTTTTTTGGTTTTTTTTAAGTGGCTTTTTTTTAGAACCTTACATTTCCTCAAGGCAAAAACATTTGACAGCAAGTGAGGGGAAAATGTTAAATCACACCTCAAAACCACCACAGGACACCTCTCTCTTGCTGCCAGCACCCCTTGAGGCTGTGACTGCCCTGTCCTTTCCACCCTGGGCTATCTCTTGCCCATCAATCCCAGCCACGGGCACGTGGGCACTGGGCAGGCCAGGCCAGCGATGCCCCGATTAGCCCAATCAGCCCTTTGCACATGGTTTCCTGGCTGCTGGACACAGCTGCCTGCAGGCTATAAAACCTATAAAACCAGCTCCTGGCCCCGGGGAAAGCCAGGACTTGCACACCACTGGGCATCCAGCCGTGGCAGAGATGTGCCAGCCCCAGCCACTGCCAGCCCTGCTGCTCCTGCTCTGCTGCGCCTGGGCCAGTGCCAGTGAGTCTGGGCTTTGCTGGGAGGCTCTTTTGGGGGGTCTCAGCAGCCCCTGGCTCACGTTGTGCTGGGGTTTCTTGCAGGTTCTCTGCGGGGTCGGATTGTGGGGGGCCACGAGGCGCGGCCCCACTCGCACCCCTACATGGCGTTCCTCAAGTTCGCAGACATGGGGGGCTGTGGGGGCTTCCTGGTGGCCCCTAACTGGGTGATGTCAGCTGCACACTGCATGGGGTGAGTATTGATAGAAGGGTTTTATCCTTTTCTTCCTCCCCTAGCCTGGGAGCTCCTTCCCCGGAGCAATTTTGGAGCAGGTCCCTCCCGTGCTGGGCAGCTCTCTCCACCTGCCTGCCAAAATGAGGGAGGGGGCGACACCCAGCTCGATTCCCTCTTTCCCCCTCCTTCTGCCACGGCCAGGAATATCACAGTCATCCTGGGGGCTCACAACATCCACGAACCAGAAAAAACCCAGCAGGTCCGGGGAGTCCTCAAGTACCACGAGCACCCTGAGTACAACCCCAGCACGATGGAAAACGACATCATGCTGCTCCAGGCAAGGAGTTCCGAGGGGGCAGAGGGGCTGTGGGGCCACCAGGGACCGAGCAGGGCTCGTCCTGGCTCCTTCTGCAAAGCTGCTTCTGCCCGAGGTGCTGGAGGGACCTGGGAAGGAGCCATGGGCAGGGTTTGGAGCTGCTCTCACAGCAGCTCCCTGCGTCCTGCAGAGCCTGCTAGACCCTCCCTGCCTCTGCAGAGCAAATATCCTGCTCACAGCCCTCTCTCAACCCCCAGCTGACATCAAAGGTGGCTGTCAATGACTACGTCCAGCCCATCCCCCTGCCCAGGACGGGCAGTGACCTCCCCACGGGCACCAAGTGCGTGATCGCTGGCTGGGGCCTGATCGACGAGGACAGGACCACCAACAAGCTCTTTGAGACCAAAGTCTCCATCTACAGCCGCAGGAAATGCAGCCTGTTTTACCCAAACCTCGATTCTGGCATGGTCTGTGCAGGCAGCTTCCACGAGCTGAAGGATTCCAGCCAGGTACGGCCACATTCCTAGCTCCTTTTCCAAGTTTTCCATTCCCAGTTTCCCA